CCCTCTGTGGGAGGGGGGACGCCGTCCCAAAGGGACCCTCCGCAGGAGGGACTTATGAGCTAAGTCGACCCTCTTGCCCAAGAGGATTAAAAAAATTGGTCTCTTTGTTTAATCCTTTCTCCTGTGTCTATCTATCGGTCTCCAGGTACAAAGTCACCCACCAATAGGAGGGGCTTTTCGGGCAGATTCTTTTGATCACACTCTCAGTTTTGTGAGGTGACTTCGCTCTTGTCCACCTTAGCTTTTTCACTTTCATCTCTCAAAAGCGATTTTGAGGTTGAACCTGTATTCAATGCCACACATCAGGTATACAGGAGCCTTTCGATTAAATCCTGTTTTGTATGCACATATTCAAGCTGGCTACATTGCCACAAGACCGACAAAATGCTGCATACAGATTAAGAGCTTGGAAGAAGCGGGAAGCTGTTCTTAACCCATAAGAAATATTCCAAGGATCAAGAAAGGCAGGCACTTGGATTGGCTCCCAACATGTTAACTTGATTCCAATGTGAAGTGGTGGCAATCAAGGGGATGGTTGGACCATACATATTGTGAAGACTAGATGGAAATTGGGGCACAAATGAGCTGTGGAGGCAAGTTATAAAAAAGTCACCAGCCAAACTCTTAATCCTCTTGGGCCGCGGGGGCGACATAGCCCGTAAGTCCCTCCGGCAAGCCATCGGATCAACTGCCAGGAGGGACTTAGTTAAGTTAGAAGTGGACAAGACTTTCCGGAATAGCTGTAATGATTGGAGAAACAAACCCCATTCAGAAGGTGCAGACAAGACTGGGCCGGTGATCTCTTGGAACTCAGCACAGGGACAATCAAGTTGCTGACAATGAGAAAAGAAATCGTGAGACTTTTCCGGGGTAATCACTTTGTCGATCCCTTTTTTGATTTCTGTTACTAATGCGGCTTGATTGGGTGGCTCCTTTGTAGGGGGGCCAAAATCTTGAAAATGTGGGCTGGCGCGCCCTTGTTCACCCTAACTTTTCTGGGGGGAGACATTGATCAACTGCCCATGAAAGTTGTGATTTTTTGGGTTTCTTGTTGCGCAAACGCATGTTTTTGGCCCCCGAGACCCCGGTTTCACCCCAGAGTAGTGTCAAGTGCCGCATGGCACACACCAATTGTGAATAATACCTGATCAAGCAAAGTCAGACTTGGCTGCCGTAAAAAAAATGAGGTTGAAAAAAATCAAAATTAAAAAAGTAAAAACATGGAAAATAGATTATGTACATGTTTTTTACTGCAAAACATGGTGCGCCTCCAATGTGCCAGAGCCAAAGGTGCACATTGCTGGCAGTTTTGGAGGCACCCTCTGGTGAGCACTTTTCCAAAATTGGTGCCGTCAACCCTACAGCAGTTCCCGGAAAGCTTGCGTTCGCGAGCTCCTGGAATCTGATTTTTTTTCTTTCCACTTTTTTTTGCGCCTTGTAACCTGTACACATGACTTGACAGGTTGTGAATCTGCTGTCGAGGCCGGGTGAGGCCTCCGGGCACCTGTTGGTTGCCTGGTGGGGGCTAGGTACACTTGATGTGATGACGACTTCTGACTCAAAAAAATGAGAGGAATCCAATGGTCCAATTCCCGTATCTTCAACTTGAAAAATGGGAGAGTTGGGCCATGATGCCTGGAATATCATGGCTGTATGAGTAAGGCTGGAACCCAGGGGTTCAGTTGGGTGGTCAAGCCCATCCCAAGACCCATATCCAAAATCACCCGGGTTATCACCCGTAACCCGGGTGGATCCAAGCTTTTTTTGACTTCAGAGAAAGAGGGACTCTGAGGGAGTAGTTGTACAACTCCTAGAGCCTCTCCTTTCTACTCTATGTATCGTACAGTCTACAATACCCGTATTGTGCAGTCAACGATCCCTGTATTGTGCAGTCTACCATCCCAATGGCCCGTCAATATCTTGCTGTTCCTGCCACAAGCGCCGCCTCCGAACGAGTTTTCTCTGCCACCTCCAAACAAGTTTTCTCCAAAGGACAATGAATTGTCTCTTGGCAACGCTCATCACTCAAGCCAGAAACAATCAAACGGCTTCTTTGTCTCAAGGAGTGGTATCAACTCCTTGATAGTCCACTGTAAAGCAACCACTATTCATTTTTCTCACTTTTGATTATACATAATGTCACTCGTTTATTCTCACAATCGTACCTTGCCTTTCTTTGCGTAACAACAAGAAAACATGAGAAATCCACAGTTTGTTAACTTCTCATCCACCGATAGAGCCTTGATACTCAAGCAAGGCTCTCTACAATGTGAAAAACATACAACTACATTGACACTTTGCCCTCAAGAGTGTCACTGAGTAGTATTATCACAACCCCCGGGTGCTCGGTTGGTGCCCAGGCCCCATCCCGACCACCCGACCACAGGTGGAACCACCCAGGTTGAACACCCGGGTGGCACCATGCGGGTTCCAGCCTTATGTATGAGGCCACGTACAGGACAGAAAAGCAAAGAAAAATTGAGGAATAAAAAAATTGAGATCCCAGGAGCTCAAAGCTTTCTGGGAACTGCTGTACTCCTTTGATTGGACATAATTCAATTGGATTGAGGAACGGTGAGTATGGAGGAAGAAATTTAATCTTGATTGACTTGGAGTCATCTATATTGACTGTATATCTTCCAATCCTTTGCTTTCTTCTGTAAACAAAGAATTGGAAGTAATCCAGCCCATGTACAAGCCTTTAAAAAAAAAAGTCCAGCTAGCAAACCACAACCTTTCTCAAATGGCTGTACAACATTTTATTTTATTGATCATGGCCTGTTAAAAGGTAAATGCAACAGATCAATATTCATTTCCAGGATATAGACCCTTCTAGCTGAAACTAGAAGATATTATACGGGTCTTCCTGAAAATATTACAGTAGATTTTGATTAAAGAAAATTGTTAAGAAAGTTTGCAGAGATACTTACTGGATTTGTACCACATATACTCCTAGTGCAGTCCTTTCCAGTACTATTTATGCACCAGACTACACTGTAACATCTTACATAGACTATTTAGAAGAGTTTAAATCTGTTAAATCGGATTACTATAGAAACCCCTCATCCTATAACCTCCCTCCTGCTATATTTTTGTCCATAGATATCTTAGGACCAAGAAATAGAAACAACAACGTTTGTAAAAGTAAAGAAAAATGTCTAAAATAATTAATAACATAAACATCTAACATGATTTATTGTGTTTTATGATAATCTTCATGAAAAAAGCACTTCAGAGTATTGTTTATGTAGAAAAATAAGAAAAACTCTAATCCTAGTTGATTGGTTGGTTCAGTATCTTGACAGATGGAATAAACACACTGGATTATCTCACAATATCTTGGCTTCTATGGAAGTGGGGCTCAAGTATAACCTTGCAAGCAATGTGTGAGCTTTACATTATTGCATTTGTATCACTATCTACCAGTAAGTGTTATTAATAAATGTCCAGGAAAATTATTAATAACACTTACTGGTAGATAGTTATATAGTTGCAATAGTGTAAAGCTCACACATTACTTGCAAGGTTGTAATTGAACCCCACTTCCATAGAAGCCAAGATATTGTGGGATATTCCTGTGTATTTCACTGCATGTGTTATTTAAAGGACTTTCTGACATTGAGGCTTTGTTTCCTTGTCCATGGTTCTGAATGGCCAGATGAATGAGCAGCATTTTGACCATAGCAACTATGCATTTCGAGCTTCTTCTCTCCAGGCAATATCACTACCAGAGACATTCTATTTGGAGTCCCTGGGCCTTGG